AGGCGGTGGGTGCGCTCTACTATAAGTTCCGTGAGTCGATGTCGATTGGGCAGCAATGCCGGGTGCTTAGCCTCGTATGAGATGGCGGAATGGGTGAGCCTGCCGCCCACCCTGAGGACTCCGCGACCATCCAAGAAGGGGGCAAGTTTTCGCAGAGGTTTGGAGCAGCTCTGACTGCGTCTTAAGCCTTCGATATCCTCCGCGAAACAACGAGATTGTACAGATTTGACAAGGTATAACAAGGTCGAGTGAAATTCGATTTGATCCACGACGAGAGTGAGCGTGTTTGATCTAGTTTTGGTAGCGAATCGGAGGCAATACGCGAACACTCTGACGAGTTTGTCTAACGACGAGAAGCGATCGAGAAGCGAATCGACAACAGTAATGGAATCTACGTCATCCGCAGGATTTGTGGAAACAAAGGCGCGAGAATTTTCTTCCTCCTCGGGAAGATCCTCAGCTTCCAATGTTGTTTCTTGAGTAGGTTCAAATTCGACGAGCCACGCAGGACCGGTCCACCACAGCGGGTGATCGACTAGTTCCTGGGGGAATAAGCCCCTTGAGCAACAATCCGCGGGGTTAGATTTAGTATCGACATGTTTCCAGCAGGAAATGTTTGTGTTAGACTGGATGCGTGCGACACGATTACGCACGAACGTTTTCCAACGGTGCGGAGCCGAGCGTATCCACGCGAGGGTAACCTCAGAATCCGACCAGGCGTATGTGTCGTCGACGGCAATTTTAGGTCGGAGAATTTTCTCGACATATTCCAACAAATCTGACAGCAAGACAGCCGCGGAAAGTTCGAGTCTCGGTAATGTGATGGCCTTGAGTGGGGCCACCTTTGATTTGGCGATGAGCATTCGGATTGTCACCCCATTCTCGGTGACGAGTCTAATATATACAACGGCTCCGTAGCCCTGCTCGCTCGCGTCACAAAATCCGTGGATTTCTCGCCTGAATACCTTATTTACGACCGCGAGAGTACGAGGTATACGAATGGAGGCTAACGCGGAGAGCTCCGACTTGTATCTTTCCCATTTAGAACATATCTCTGAGGGGGGCCTGTCGTCCCACTCTACTTTAAGCATCCAGAGTTGCTGGATCAATCGTTTGGCCATGAATGTAAACGGGGTCAGGAACCCCAATGGATCAAAGATGCGAGCTAATTCAGAGAGAATGGTGCGTTTGGTGTAATCTCTGTCCAACGGGTTGACCTGAAATCCAAAGTCGTCCGTTTGAGGGTACCAACGAAGTCCAAGGACTTTAAGAAACTGGTCTTCCGGCGATTCAAAGGATAGTAACGATTGGCTGCGGAGTTCCGGATCCAGATCCGCCAAGACCGACGGATGGCTACTGGCCCATTTTCTGAGTTCGAAGCCGGCAGTTTTAAGCAAGGCTTGTAGTTGCCGCTGAAGCTCGCGGGCCTTCTCCACGGACTCGACACTCGTCACCACATCGTCGACGTAGACGCTCTCTTCCAAGGCAGCTGCGGCCAATGGGTATCTCGTTTTGCCTTCGGCTGCTAACTTTAACATGCAAGCAATCGCTATGAACGGAGAGCATGTCAATCCGAAAATGACAGTCAACAAAAGGTAGTCCGAGATCGGATCGTTTTCCGAGAAACGCCACACTATGCGCTGATAGTCACATTGACCGAGTTCGACCAATATCTGAAGGAACATCTGTCTGACATCCGCGGTGAGTGCCACGAGACCGAGCCGAAACATCAATAATATCACAACTATGTCTGATTGTAATTTGGGACCGGATCGCAACATTTGATTCAGCGAGACGCCGTTCAGATCCTTAGCCGATCCATCAAATACGACGCGCAATTTCGTAGTCGTGCTATCCGACTTGAGTACCCCATGATGGGGTAGGTAAAAGACAGGTCCGTCCACTGGGAACGGCTGCTTGATCAATTTCATATAGCCATTAGCTAAGTAATCCTGCATGAATTTGCTGTAATTTGCTTTGAATTCTTTATCCGCTTTGAAGCGACGCTCAAGTGCGCGAAATCTATTCACGGCTACTTGACGCGTGCCAACGAAACAAGGTTTATCCTTTATGAAAGGATACGATACTACAAATCGACCAGATACATCGCGACGCGTGGTCTGCGCAAATAATTCCTCGCAACGTCTATCTTCCTGTGAATACGGCGGAGCCGAGAGAATCTCGTCTAACTGCCAAAATCGATTGAGAGACGTCTAATGAATCGAGAGTCAGGAACGAGTGTGTAGACCGAGATGCCTGCGTCGATACCGAACCGACTAGAACCCATCCGAAAATGGAATTAAAGGCGTCTGGTTCGCCCTTCTTCCCTACGCGACGACCGTCTCGAAGCAATGACGTAAAAATCTCTGCGCCGATTAAGATATCGATGGGACCCGGTCGGTGATACCGCGGATCCGCAAGTTTCAATCCCTCTATGTGTTTCCACGCTCTTTGTTCGACTTGACTACTAGGTAATTGTGCGGAGATGCGTGGGAGAATCGTAGCCTCTATCGGAACGCGAGTGTTGCCGTTACCCTGTACTTGAATCACGAGTGAGGTGCTGCCTCGAGTGGCAGCCGCCTTAGTATCATTAACCGCTAGAACCACCGTGCGACCTTTGGTTCGTCCGAAGCCACCCCGTTGCATGCAATTTTCCGAGATAAAGTTTAATTGGCTAGCACTATCTAATAGCATGCGAACAGGGAATGGATTCCCGTGGACGTCGAGAGCTTCGGCCTGTACCGTTGACAGTAATACGGTCGAACTCGATTTCGCGACGCTGGTCATGGTGACGAGGGGCTCGTTATGTTGTGGCGACGAACTCTCCTCGGCGGCCGTTTCAGAGGGGGCTCCGGTATCCGTCGGGGTGCCCACTGGACCCGAACCCCGTCCGAAGTGCAATAGGGTATGATGCCTAGCCTGGCACGACCGGCACGTCCCCGTTGATGTGCAGTTGTTAGTGCCATGACCCGCGCGAAGGCAATTGAGACACAAATTCGCGGTTTTGGCCGTTGAATGCCTTTCCCGAGGGGATAATTTCAAGAACCGAGGGCACTTGAACACGAGATGTTCCTTGCACGCCGGACACTCGGCAGTTCGAGATGCAAGCGACGAAGCCGACGCGGACGATTGTGATTTGAACGGCATGGTCGACGGACCCGAGATGGCCTCAAGTACTTTACAGTGTTCGGAAAGAAACTTGATGAGTTGAGCGTATCGCGGTATCTCTTCGGCCCGATGGACAGATTCGAACTTTTCCCGCAATGATCGGGGAAGCTTCTCGAGCAGGAAATTGAGCAAAAGGAAATCCCACGAATCGGTAGGGAACTTCATCAGGTTTAGCGCGCGAGTGTTTTCGGTGAACGTATCTAATAATTTATGGAGGGCATCGGCCGATTCTATCTTTAACGGTTTGGCTTCGCGTATCGATTTTAGGTGGTGGTCCGCTAGCCTCCTTCTGTTCCGATACCTGTCGAGCAGCGCGTCGTATGCAATCATGTAATACTCCGCGGCGAGGGGCAAATTCTTGATTACATTGAGCGCCTCCCCCTTTAGCGAGGCCAGCAGATATTGATACTTCTCTATTGACGAGATCTGTCGGTTGTCGTGAATCGAGGTGTTGAACAAGGCGATAAAAGACGGCCACAGCGTAAGATCGCCCGAAAATTGCGGAAGCGTAATTTTGGGTAACTTGATCGCCGACGCGTGGCTCGCGGATTGAGCCTGTGCGGTTCCGGGCGTCGTGCCCGTGAGCGCGTGATACCGTCCCTTCACGGCGTAATGCATTTTATCGAAGTCTGCCCGAATCGCGTTCTCGGCGTCGAACTCAGTAGTCTCTTGTATAAGCTTTAGATGCGCGT